CCTGCTTCTCATTTGATCTAAAGTTATTAGAGAGCAGAGTACCTTAGACAGCCTAGGAATGAGACATGTGGGAAACATAGAAGGAATTCTTAGAAAATCATTCATCCATACAAAGGTAAGAGCATGGCAGTTATATTTAAAGTTCTACCTTACATCACAGTTCATCTTGATGCTGGTAGCTTTTTGGTCCAGAAGATAATTATAATGCATATGTGCTTCATATTCTCCATCTTGAAACTAAAACAACAACAATGTAACAATCTATTGAAGTAATGGAGTCAAGAAATGTTGAGATTCCCTAAAATACAACAATTTTATATGAAATGCGATGGACTCTAGACCATGCTGTTCAAACTATCCTGCTTCAATAGCCATGCCCCCTTTCCCTAGCTCACAAAAATTAGCCATGACCATCCTAAAAGCCTACTGCCATGAATCTCAATTTGGCTATGTGAGCCTGAGTCTCTTCAGAACCTGCCTCCTCATGCTATCTGCCTAGCAGTAGAGTCTGAAGTTCATAGTCTTCATTACGTTCTTATATTTCTGCCTGTGAGCCCATGATGACATTATTAAGACTTCTGGTAAATTTCTTACCCTAGTAATCCATCAGTGTTCTCCTTGAGTCTCATACCTAAGACTTTCTGAAACAATAAGTTTAGGAAATATGACAAATCTTGCATAGGGAGAGATGGATGGCTCAGTGGTTCAGAGCACTTTCTTGTCTTGCAGAGGAGCCAGGAGCCACAAAATCACTCACAACCATCTCTATGGCTTGTTCCAGGGCATCAGATACCTTCTTCTAAACCCTTTGGGCACCAGGCACACGAACAGTGCAAATACATATTATATATACATTCAGGAAAATATTCAAATACATACAATAACAATAATAAAAAAGAATTGTTATGAATAAAGAATAACGATGATTGCTCAAATTATAACAGCAGGGACTACAACTTACTCTAATAAGCTAAATTAAAGTCACAGCAGTAGCAACAGTACTTGTGGCAGACATAGAAGAAATAGCAAGATAAGTAATTAAAAATAATTCCTTATAGGAAAAAAAAGAAAAGGATGAAAAACAGATTAGAAAAATAGGAGAAAAAGAAGAAAGGAAGGAAGGATGAGGCAGGCAAGAAGGCACATTAAATGTGCTTACTTTGTAGCCCTGACATCCTGAGTTTGATCAACAGAACCCAAGGAAAAAAGCCAGATGTTATGACAGGCATCTGTAATTTTAGCACTTCAAGAGTGAGCTACAAGGCAGAGATGGGCAAATATTCAGGAAGCTTCAGTACTGCTCATGTACAGCACACAGCTTGTGAGAAACAAGGGAACCCATGCTTCCATGAGGTGAGAGGAGATAACTGGCTCCAGAAATTTGTCCCCTGAGTTCCAACATGCACAATGGAACTCACTGTAGTGTGTACATAAACAAACACACGGGTACACATACATAGGTGTACATGTACACATTCACACTCATGTGCAAACACACAATATGTACATATACATACAAATGTACATACACATGTATACACACATGTCCATAAACACTCTCAAAAAAGAGAAAAAAAATGAAAGAAAAGGGTGAAGGAGAGAGGGGTGGAAGTGATTCCAAGAAAAACTTAAGGCAAACATTTGCACAAAATATGAATAATTTTTGAATCAATGTGTATCACAACTGTAAGCCAGAAATCACAGACTTCCTTAAGCCAGTTTTATATATAAGAAGGATGTTCATATGTATTGATCAAAAGTACTCAGTGATTGTAACATGGGTAACATTGTTATGAGTGAAAAAATGGAGGTTCCTTAAAACAAGCAAATAAACCCTAAAGATGGACCTACTGTGTGATCCAGCTTCCTTTCCAGCCCAACTAAAATCAGTGCAGGAAAGAGATCACTGCACACACTGTTTACTATGGCAGCGTCCTCAGTGCTGAAAGTGTGGGGTCAGCTGAGATGGAAAGGGTAAATAAGGAAAATACAGCTACATAGGAGTATAATTCATCCACAAATGAGTACAGTTCTTTCATCTGTAACAAAATGGACTCAACTCGAGGATTTTAAGCAAAATAAGTGAGATGCAGAAATCATAATCCATGATCTCTCTTCTATATGGAAGTTAAAAATAAAAGTAGACTTGAATATGAAACAATGATTGCTAGAGGTTGAGAGGAGGAGACAGAGGAATGAAGTGTGTCTGGATTAGATCAGGGCATGTTTATGTAAATATACTGAAACACAACACTAAGGCAATATTTTGATAAAATTTTATGAAAAGTGTAATTTTATAGAATTTATTATGTCATATCAGTGTAGCATTTCCAGGCTTACTTAAAAATGCTCAATCTGTAGATCTTGTAATAGTAGACAATGTAGATGTGGAAACAGGTAAATATATAATTCCAAAAAATAATTAATTTCACATGATCAGATCTCATGAAACATTATAGTGAACCTCTACCTAATTTACCCCCATGTGAATAAGACAGCCTGATTCTTTCTATTGATTTCTCTGTAGGTCACAATTAGTTTTTTTACAGAAATAGTCTTAGAAAACTTTTGTGATTTAAATCAAGTTAGTTAGAAAACTACACTTGAATTGTATAAGGAATAAAAATGACAAGTCTGGGAAAATTAAAGAGGGAATATGAACATTTTAGTCATAAATACAACAGAAAGAAGCTAAGTATAGTTATTTATCTCCGTTAGTGTTCAATCCCAGTGTCTGATCTCCCACACCGTATTATTCAATCGATGTACAGCTCAGAGTTTTCCATTTTTGTCTTATTTTGTTTTCAACTTTTTCTTTTGAGAAAATAATAAATTATTGGTTAATTACAAATCTGGTTAAATTTAAATTCTGCATACTATTAACTCTCATGGTACACTTTACAAATTAGCAGTACATTATCAAAACCAGGAAGTTGATACGATACATGCTATAGACATGACATAGTTTTTTTTTTTTGTCATGAACCCAGAGACTCAGTCATGCTATAGAATCATTTTGTCACCTGTACTGCATGTCATACGTAGATCCTGGATTGTATCTAATTATTTCTTACTGTCAACTGATAGGATCAAGAAGTTGTATAGCTTTAAATGGAAAGTTATATTTTCTTACTTGTACTTTGCAATCACAATGACAGTATTATAAATATTTGGATGGATTTAGTTGTACATGTTTTGGAAAGTGGTACACAGATATGCAAACTTCCAAACAATTCTAAAAGAAATACCACATTCTCAAAATAAAACTGAAGGTCAAATCAAATTCATATGTATTGTGAGCAAATATTTATGGGTGTGGAAAAATTCTCATGGTGGGTGAGAATTATATTCAGATGAATGCAAAACTCTCAGGGAACTGCTGATAATATAAGTAATACCTTTTACACACTGGCTTCGATTTCTGTAACATAGGAAGTACATAACATAAGGTAACATTGTAATGGTAATTCCAGTAAATGTAAAGCGACCAATGAAAATATGAATCTTTTTACATTTAAATCCTTTGCATTGATTTAGTGACTGAGACAACTTCTTAACCTTAGTCATCATGTTGTGCCAAATATATAGATATTATATATTGAATACACAGCAACATTAATGGGCTGTGCAATGCTTTTTCCTGATAAGTTTTTGTTGTTTAGTGCAAATACTGTAAATTAACTACATATATAAAATTTAATGACCTATCAAGTGTCCTGGGAATGCATAAGAATCACAAAAGTGTCTAACTATGCAGACAGTACCAGAAATATATTTCTACTAGAAAATAACTGCTAAATGTGACAGAGGTAACAATCTGTTTTCAATGTGTGGCCTCCTCAGCCCTAGTCTTCACACAAACTAAAGAACAGATTGCACTTACATTTTCTTTTGTGGGTCATGTGAGCCTTTTCATTTTAAAAAAAGCAAACAAACAAACAAACAAACAAAAACCAGAAATGCCACATTTAGCAAAAGTCAAACATTCCTAAAATCACGGCTTACAAGATTGCTTAAATTTAGACCTGTAGAAAGTTAACCCCGTCAAGGGAATAAAGCTTTTCATGTTTGCTTTGTGTATTTAAAATGACCACATAGAAAACTGAAAAGAGACCCATATTCTCCATGTCTAAAGAGACAGTAAGAGCTTTATTATTATTATGAAGCATAGGAAGAAAATTGGTTACAAAGAAAGGGTTTACTTTTCCTCATGTTTATGCAGGTACAAGGCAGGGCTAATGCATGGCCTCTATTCTGGTCAAAGCCAAAGATGACTGTACATCATAACAGGCAGGTATCAGAGTGATCACTTACATATTGAGCCAATTGGAGAACTAAGCAGAGTTATATAATGCAGTTGAAAGGCATGCACAAATTCTGTAAGGGACTACCAGAAGATTCCACCTCCTAATGGCTCACAACAATTCTCACGAGTTTACTATGGGACTCTGCCCTGTAACACATGGTATGTTGCGCCACTTTTCAGACTCAAACTACAGTATGTGTCACCTTGGGAATCAGGGAGAAGTTTTCATTTTCTTAAAAATTTTTGAGGTTATAATATAATTACAGTTTTTCCCCTTTCCATTTCCTTTCTCCAAACCCTCCCATATAGTCCTCCTTGCTCTTTTTCAGATTCATGATGTCTATTTCATTAATTGTTGTTACATACATATATGCTGAGTCTGAATAATTTTACTTAGATTTGTGTTTTCCTGGTTAATTATTTAGTATTGGTTAGCTAATTGTGTGTTCTTCCATGAGGAAGACTCATTCTCCCCATCTCAGCATTCCTTCATTGCCTGTAAATTTTTGTTTAGGGTTGAGACATACTGGGCTTTTCCCATCCACTTTGGCATGTCTATTCTTATCCTTGCTCAGGTCACATTTGGGCAATTATGATGGTGAGACTTTATGGATATAGCTTCTGTTGTTACTAGGATACACAATCTCACTGCAAACTGCCTGATCCTCTGGCTATTACAATCTTCCTGCCAACTCTTCCACAATGTTCCCAGAGTCTTAAGTGCCATAGTTGTTTTGTAAATGTATCCACTGAGACTGTGTTCTACAACTCTGCATTTCTGTTTGTTGTTGTTTTCTCTGGTGGTCTCTGTTTGTTGCTTACTGAAGTTCCTGGATGAGGTATGAGGACTAAAATTAACTGTGTGTATAAAGACAAATATTTAGATTGTGATTAAAACTTCCTCAAATATTGTAACATTCCATCCTACAGGAAGCTCATTAAGTAGAAAGGTAAACAACTCAAAATAGTTCCAGGAAGTCCCTGAAACTGACCAGATTCACCTGCCAGAGGAAGCAAGTAAGCTGAGAGCCCTCCTCAGATGGAAGAAAGCTGAGTGTCTAAGAAGATTCTCAGAAGAAAAGGGCTGCAAATAGGACTCTGAGAGCTGACCAGCTGCCTAGAAGAAGCAGAATTCTAAATGCCTGGAAGATGTTTTGACCAACTAAGGAACCTGGAAAGGATGGTTTCCAACCTATTGAGTTGCTTGCAGGCAGTGTGCTCTGGGTTCCCAGCTTTATGAACTGTCACCCATGGTGAGGTGGAACTTAGTGATGCAGCTGCCTTTGAGTCATTTCTGTTCTTGTACTTAACCCTTCATCCACATTCCTGTCAGTAGCCACAATGAAACTCATTGGCTGACCAAATTGGACATTGGTGGTATCTGTACTTTGGTCTGTTGTGGGTTCCCTGTCTGCTGTCAGTGGACATTTGTGGTGTGTCTTCCCTGGGAAAATTTTGTCTCAACACGGGGATTATACTGGTTAAGTAAAGTAGTGGTTGCAAATTCTCCTCCAATATCCATCACCAGCATTAAGTAGTTAGCTGAATCTTCAGTACCAGGTATGTTTTCCTTCCCGTTAAGTAGGCCTTAAGTTCAACCAGAAAACTGTTGGCTACCACAAAGTTATGTGTGTCATTATGGTACCCTTAGAGTTATTGTACCATTCTAGTTATTGCTGTGGTTAATAGGCATCATAGCTATATAGGAGTATTGCTTGCCTCTCTCCTTTGGAAGCTTGCATGGTGACTTTTGATATCATGAAAAGTAGTCCTTAGGGAGGAGACATTCAGGTCAGTGCTACCCCAGAGCTCCCTGGGTCATATTTCTGAAGTGCATGATGTCTTCAGCAACAGGAACTTTCAAAGGCATCTCAGAGCATAAAACACCCCATGACCAAGTTCTCAGCACAAAAGAGATTTATTTTCCCCAGAGGGACAGAGGGCAGGGAATAAAAGACAAAGGAGATAAAGAATGAGGGAGAAAGGGAAAGGAACATGAGAAAGAAGGAAGGGAAACTGTTATTGCCCTAGAGGGACAAAGGACTGCCTCTGGATAGAGAGTAGACATATGTGGTCCATAGGCAAATGAGTTTATAAAGGTAAAAGGGCAAACCTTGTATGAGGATGAGGTATTTAATTTCTATTGGACAGGTTAATTAGGGCAGCCAAAACTGAGCTTTTGATAGCTGGACATCAATACTTTGATAGCTGGACCTAAATAATCAGCCTCAGGAGGACGAAATGGCCAAACAAGGCAATAAATCTTGGTGTCTATCTTTAAGAATGTAATCTAACAGTTTTTGGCAAGCAGGGAAGAAAGGGGGAAGGGTAAGGCTTGTGAGTGCCATGTTTGCAAATGTTTGGGCCTGCTAGAATGTCTTCAGGTTTACCTTCACTGCTGTGGGACAACTCAGGGTAAAACAGCAGGCTATATATTTTGGGAGAATGTCGGATAGCCTTGGCGAATAACTTAAAAGAGGGCTTCTTCTGTCTCCTATTGGGATTTTTTAAGTTGTTCTTTGGTTCTTGGATGGATCATTATATGCCCACATGGGAAAGTATCATTAAAACGATATGTGTATATTTATATACAGAATTATGTTCATTATAGATTTTCAGTGATATTTTTCAATGCTGTATTTTTAATCCAGGATCACATACTCAGTGAGCAAGTACTTTCCCCCCTTCCTGTCTCAAAGCAGATTCTTTGACATGTCAACTCTCAAGAACTTGAGTGAACTTTCAGTATAAAGCTAATCATGGGACAGAAATAGATTAAGTTAAATCTTATTAGTTAGCAAATGACTTTGCTTGTTTTGTAGTGAAGTATCATTACACCCATTACTAATGAAGGGGCTACATACAAAGCATACTTAGATTGGATTACATTCTTAGATGTCCCTATTTTTCTTTGTAAACAGAACAACCAAAAAAAGTATTGACTATTTGAAAGTGGATAAAGAATAAGCTTTAAGCACTGACTTCATCTAGTGTTTATAATTAGATGAATCCATGCAAGCATGTATTTATAGGTCAAATTAGTAAAAGGTGAATATAAAGTTATCTAGCAGGTACTAATGCTTAGACTCAGCAAGTGGCATTTAAAAATGCCCTAGAAAAAGAATAAATAAATACATTGTAGAGATTTCTCAATAGTTAAAGCACTTATTGCCTTTGCAGAGAACCAGAGTACCCTTATCAAGTGGCCTGCAACTGCCTGTAACCACAGATCCAGGGGATTATTTCTTCTATTCTCATACCCTGTAAGTACCAGACATATTTACAATAAACATCCATGCAAAAAGTCACTCACAGATAACCATGAAAATAATCCTTTAAAATTAAAACAAAATAGATTATTTCCACTTAATATGGTGTTTTTAGAGTAGTTTTACATTCACAGATTACTGATGAAACTAACCTTTCTTATATGCTACACATCCCATGGTGTCGTATATTTTGCAGCTCAGCACCAGGAAGTGAGCAGTTAACAATGTCACACATGTCCTGCATCAGGGCAGTTACAATAACCACATAGAGAATAGAAATCTGCCAAAGTTAGTCAGTGTCCCATGATGCTGTATTTGCTCTGTGCATCTGCTGCACTCAGAGGGTCTTACCTGTGGGGATATAGATCTGATGTCTCTCACTGTGTTGAGATCCTCAGAGTAATAGCTACTTTTTTTTCCAAATTCAGAGGAAAAGAGCACATTTCAATCTCCAGACAGTACACATTTGCAATAATTTGTGGAAAGAGACTGGAAAATTTGGGAAGCATTTTCTGCCATGCCATGTCTTTAAAAGGGATTCCTCAGATTCTCTGTAAATGCTGATAATTACAATATCAATTCAGGTATGAAGACATGATTTAAAATGTGTGAGTATGTGTGAACAACATAAAGGACATAAAGTTGATTTTTCCGATACTAACATTGATTAATAACTAATAAAGATGTCATCAAATTCAACAGAAGTTTATTTGCAGTTTTCTTTAAAGAATTATTCTTTCCCTAAAAATGGGGCATAATATAAGTTTTATGTGGATCATGAAATAATTTTGAATACACATTCATATATTTTTCTTGGCTATGTGAAAGTAAAATATCAAAATTGGCTTAAATAATAATTTGTTTATAGACTAAAATCAGAGAAATGATATAGTGGGTAGCAATTCCAGCTTTAATCTGGAAGTTTTAACCCCCATTGAGGCTTCAATAACTGTCACGCCTACAAGGCAGGGCCAAGGGAGGCACCTGGAGACCCGAGATCGGGATGTGCCAGCTCGCTCTCTGTTCCAGGACCCTGGACGGTGGAGGTGAATGGAGCAGAGTTCCAGAGAACACCACTGGACTGCGGTACACCTTCCTCATACCCCGCGACCTACTTATCCCTTCATTGGTAAGTTACCCAATAAATAAATCTCCCTTTTAACTACGTGGAGTGGCCTTAATAATTTCACCAATAAATGAACTATAATTTTGCAGGCTTTCCTTATCAGCCATTAAATTTCATCTTCATATAAATTGATTTGATTTACTAATGGTTGTAATCAGAACATTTTATTCATTTATATTTATATTTTATGTCTTCTCTTAGTTTAATTAACAAATATGGGGAAGAGGATGCCAAAATTGATTTTAAAAAAAGTGATTCTTTTAAGTAAATGAAATGAAATACTTACAGGAAAATGCGATAAACCCATTTAAAAGGTTAACATGCACACAATGATAGATGGCAGGACCTTGTTTTCTCACTGAGTTCCAATAAAATGTGGCTTCAATTGGGCTGAAATATTTTACATACCACATGAATGACACTGTAAGGCACATCACTTCTCCACAAGGATAACACTCTTCATAATTCGCTTCAGTTTCAAAAATTGTGAGTTGAAAGAGGTTTGCCTTATTTGACTCTACCTCTTTAAGCAAAGCAGACATGGAGAAACTGTCTCTAAACAGTCCTGATTAGGAGTGTAAAAGAAAAAAAATGTGAAGGAAAACCAACAACAAGCTTGTGTTTCCATTTCCTGGTATCAATTAATAGCAGATTGCATCTTCTGGGTCTGTGATAACTTTATAAAGAATATGATATGCTAGACAAATTTGACTACTTTTTTGATAAACTCACTAAATTAGTGGATAAAGAAATAGAACGAAGAGAAAATACCTTGCTGATAATAAAACTGAATGATAGCAATTCACAAACACTTATTTAAATAGATTCTGCTTGAAAATTTAATTCAAATTACCTCAGCTGCAAGTATTGTCACACAGATTGAAAGCTGAATGAAGGATAAGCATGAAGAAAAGATAATGAGAAAGGCTCACCAAGAAATCTATCATGGGAACTTAAAGTATTAATGAATCTTATATAAAAGAGGCCAAATAATTTGGCTTTAATTTCTCACTTTATCTACCTGATTGAGAAGTATATGGATAATCAAAGGAATTATTTTCTCTGCACTGTTTAGAGGAACTGCTTCTTTCAGGTTCACCAGACTGTACATATTAATTTGCTCCGAAAAGTATTCCAGACATATTAAATTCCAAGGAAGTCCTGAGAGTTGCAAGAAAAACTTTAGTAATTTTCACCTTGTATTTGCATATTAAATGTGGGTGAGTGAGACGAAGGTGCTTATCAAACTGATGGTTGTCATATGTGCAGTATCTGGTATTCCTCTTCCTTTCATTTCTTTCTTTAGTCACTTATTTTAGGTTTTTGAGCCAGGGTTTCTCTACGTAGTGCTGGCTGTCCTAGAATTTGCTCCATAGACCAAGCTAGCCTTGTATTCACAGAGGTTCACCTGACTCTGCCTCACGAGTGCTAGGATTAAAGGCACATACTAGCAATGTCTGGTTTATATCCGGTACTCTAATGTAAGACACAATATCACAACTGCACAGTTTCTTATGTAACTAACCGTCCACCTGAATTGCAGGGATAATTACTGAAGATTAAGGTGCAATTGCTTCTTTTCTCTACGTCACTGATCCCCAAAAGAGCATGATACATAATTAAGATCTTCATTCAGAAATGGTGGTGTAGCCTCTAATTCAACACTTTGGAGGCTTGGGTAGAAGAATCGTAATTTAAGGCTAGTATGACCTACCGTAGTCAAAATATTTGTACCATAGTACAAAATAGGTAGTATTTTTAGTACTTATGTGTTTGTTAGAAAGTAAATAAACATGAGGTATTCATTTTTTTTTTTTTATGTTCTAACCCCTTACCTGTGACACAGTAATAAAGTTACCTCTATTGTTAAATGTCTGGCATAGAAACAAAAGTTGCATAATATTAAAAGTTTCTGTGTTAGCAACCACACACCATACCATATACAGATTTACACGATATGCTCAGTTATTTACCAAAAGCAAAATAGGTATTCAACTACAGGTGAATACCATGGGTATGGCAATATTCCTATAACTGAACTCATATCTACTTGACTTGGAAGCTGATTGTCTTTTTCTTTCTTCCCAGTATAAATACAGACTCTGTAAACACTCTCTCCACTATTAAACTTAGCTCTATTAACTATGGTAGTTTTGCATATCTAATTTTGAAGGCCACTCCTTCAACTGATTATACTGGATACTTGGAAAATCTACGCATTGATGATTTCCCTTAGAATATTTTGCTTGTAGTTTTAAAAGAATACATCTCATGGCCATGCACAATAGTGCCTCTTTCCCTTTTCCTGGGTGCTGCACTGGTGAGGTTCTGTTGATCCTTCCCTAAATTACATCACTTATGAAACAATTATCCACAGGTAGACAAGCCTATGTCAACTGTTAGCAGAATCAAAACTGACAGAATCAGTTGTTTTGAATATATGAGAATAATTCATACCACCACTATTTATAATAAGCTCAATGTGCCCCAATACTTTGATAAATCCCTAAGCTCATAAGAGTATCGCTTTCTACATCTACAAAATGGGAATGATAATCCTCTCATTGCCCGTAACACAGTACTGTTATGAAGATTGGATTATTATTGAAAGTTCTTTGCATCCCTTAAGTACTGTAGAGCTCTGTGAAAGATATTAAGTGAACCATTTGTGGAATAGGAAAGAGAAAACCCATCTCTCATTATTCACTTTATAGCATATAAAGAGATATTTCTTAGAAATGATGAAACCTTTATTTGTATCACAAGTAGTTACATTTCATATTGCTAATGATCAAACAAGTTTCAGAATAATTTTGAGATGAATATAATTGGCTAAATATATTTTGGTTGCTAAAATTTTGGAATATTTAATTTTCTTGCAAGATTTCCATGCTCTAAGTATCTATATATTTTTATTAACATTAATTTCTCAAATATTAAACTATAAATTTTAGTTGAACTGATTCAAGATAAGTTTTCAAACTATAATAGGTAAATTAGGACAGATAAATCTGGTGCCAATTACTCATTGTTTAAATGATTAACAATGGAAGCTTAAAACAACATTAACAACAACAATATTTAAATTTCCCCAGGCCTGTTTCATTTTATCTAGTATTGGAATTGGTAGTAATATTTTTTTTTAATTTTAGTTGATGTATTAATTTTACTTGCTTTTGTTTCTACTAAATTTTAAAGGGTAATAAATACATTTAACAATTTGTTATATGCATAAAATGTATATTTATGACAAGAAAGTGTGGTAATATATATTAGAAATACTACTCAGTAATAGAACTAATATGTATGTACACTAAAGGTATCTCCATATATATATATATATATATATATATATATATATATGGAAATTTCCAGAATTTTGGGGAGTATAAATTATTAATGATAACCCCCTGAATGTGGAATTGGAGACAGTTGATCCTGCTGTGTTTTATCTTGGATGAGGCCAACACATTTTAACCCAGTTCTTAAGTGAATTATTTTTCTAAATGTATCTTTAAATAAGAAAATAAAATTATCAGATTATCTGTAACCAGCTAGATGAGTAGAAACTCTAGTCTCTTTTAAATGTCATTATCTACATTGGAGAGGGTCTCACTAAGCTCCCTGGGCCAACAGTGGTGAACTGTCTGTGGAACTGAGGCTGGCCTTGGACTCATCGTCTTCCTTGGGCTGCATTCCAAGTGCAGGGATTACATAACTGTTGTCAGATCTTTCATCCGAAGCCATGCTTGTGAAATAGCACAAAATTTAGTGTTGGATATTTAATTGTGGTATCTGTGAAGTACTTTCCTCTTTAATGTTCAATTACCAAGTTTGATAAAAGGGATAATGAAATTATCTCATAAAATTTGAGGATTGATTAAATAATACATGCCACTTTTCAAAATAAGACAAAGACTTATGAGCCCTCAATCCATATGCCACAGGGTGGCCAGCTCCTTAGAAGGCTGAATGGGCTCATGGCTTTTGTAAACATTGTTGATTTGTTAAACCTAAGTTTGAGACAGAGATTGAATGATGAGAAAGTATGACTAGAGAAAAGATGAGCCATTCTGCTGGGACATTGTGGAGGTATGTAAAGCTTTTGTCAACTGAAGACATGCTGTGGAATAATCCTTCTGCACACTGTGTGAATGTATGTTGCTATGATTGGTTTAATTAACAAGCTGACTGACCAATAGCTAAACAGGATTAAATTAGCTGGGAAAGCCAAACTGAGAATGATGGGGTGAGAAAGGGTAGAGTCAGAGAGTCACCACACAGATGGAGAATGCTTCAGACACACAAAATAGGATAGAGGTAAAAGCCACAAGCCTCGATACAGCACATAGATTTATAGAAATAGGTTAAGTTGTAAGGGTTAGTTAGTAGCAAGCCTGAGCTATTGGCTAAGCATTTATAATTTATATTAAGTCTCTCAGTTAGT